TAAAGTTTAATGTAAAAAAAATCTGTTTTCTATTGATTCTTTAACCCATTATGAAATGTGGAGTCAATTGTAGGGAAGTAATATTGGAGAAGGACTCTGACTTGGGTGTTCTTGGTGGCATATTTATGTTTAATGTATTCAGAAGAGGGAAGGAAGGAAGGAAGGAAGGAAGGAAGGAAGGAAGGAAGGAAGGAAGGAAGGAAGCAAGCAAAGGAGGGAAGGACGGAAGCACAGATTCTAATCTAAGCTCTTGGGTAAATTATTACTGTATCTCTGAATGTTAATCTCTACTACTTTTATAAAATGGGTATAATAATCAGCTACTAATCACACAACAATTTTTTGGAATATAAAAGAGCTCCAGAATGCAAAAGTGTTTTCGTAAATTAGAAAAATCTTATCTCTATGTAAGGCATCCAACTACCTGCTTTCATGTGCAATTTAGAATGTCTATCCTTTCACCTCTTGATATTTTCACTTCCTAAATACTGTACGTTTATTTGTAGAAACACTCTGTTTCAGGAAAAATAATGTGTTCCTTTTGGGACCATGTTTCATCACACAGCTTCTCATTACTCATGTGAAGTGCTAAGAACCTTGAGAGGGCAGAAAAAAAATCACCCCTCTTAGTTTCTCTGTAGCTCTCCTTTTGACAGAGCTCAAGTACAGGCTGTTTGGCTATAGAGCCATAGGGATTTGATGAAACAAAGCGTTCCACAGGACTACAGACTCTGCTGCTTCCATCTCAGGGGAAGTACAAGATATGACCTTGGTTGATGACTGGTAAGCACGCTAGTTGCCTAGCAAAATTCAAAAGTCCAAGGAAAAAGCCATAATGCCCTTATTGATTTCTATTTTGAAGCTTTTATTATCATAGTGTGGTATGCTGCAAATTGAGTATTTTAACAGAAAGCGTAGAATAGCATGGAATTTTTTTACTGCCACAGCTGCTGACATGTACCAACAATCTTATCCATTTCTATATTTGCAATGACAACAAAATGTTATGTTACACAATATGTTAGTGCTTCTAAAAAGCTGGGTACATGGGAGTTTTAAATATGAAAGATGAGCCCATGATGAGTGAGATTTAAATAAGAGCAGCCACATTTGAAAGAATCTCAATGTGAAACTAAATAATTTCTTAATGCTACACAAATTTGATAGCCTTCAAGAATCCTTTAAAACAGGTAATTATTTTTATTTTTGAAAGTAGAAAGATAAAGAAACAGGATTTATCAATAATAGCATTTCTGAAGGTTTATAACCATAACTTCAGATCTGATAAGATCACTGTAGATAAGCCTTAATTTAGATGAAATAATAAATAAAACATTTTCTAAAAATTTGTGTATCAATTTTTAAACTAGCAAATAATCTGAAATACATATCTAGAAACAAGAAACCCTTTTAAAATACTCCTCTCATATTGGTTAAAATGCTCAGCTATTTTATACAGCAAATATTCTAGGCAGAATTTTTATCTTGATTCTTTGTTATTCCTCCTCCTTTACCTCCCTCTGCATGACATGAATATTGTGAACAAAGAAGACTATTAAATGAAAAGGGAAATTTTTATTAAAACATTTACTAAATTATCTTTAAAAATCATGAAAAATCTGTCAGATTCTGTTTAATACAAAGTTAAATCAGCATTTTAGTAAACTAACTATTGCTACTACCACTGATATTAAATGATGAGCTGAAACCTTTCGATAACTTCTTGGACATCATGAAATAAGTCTATTTTCTTCAATGGGAAAAATAATCTCTACTGGACATAGCTCATTAAAAAGTCTCTATTAGTTGGCTAGGGTATACAAGTTAGCTCATCATGCCATTTCAATCTCCTGCTTTGCATATATAAACACAATATGAACTACAGTTATCATTTTTAGATGTTTAAATTTGACACATTTGTTGTAAGAACAGATGTAAATGAACAGAAATAAGAATTCATGCATCATTTTAATTCTGCAACACATCAAATTGTTTCCAAGTTTTAGGACATCTTACCATTCTTCGATTTTGTACAGGCATAGGCTCTGCCTGACAGTATAGATAAAATTTTGTGTTCTGCTTATTTTATAAGCATTGTACATACTGCCAGAGAGCCTTCATAACTATCATGAAAATAAATTAATTGAATGAATTACCATAACTTAATGGATCATATCTCCATTCTCATACATGTTACCTTCCTCTGCCTCCTCCTCCTCCCACCCCTGGTTTTTTGAATTACCATTAACCACCCACATTTTCATTTATACAGTTTCCCCTTGATTTTGATGTTTCTCCCTTCAGATAAATTCTCTGAAGTATAGACTTATGAATATTTTTATGGCTTTCATATTGCCAAAGTGCTTCTAAATTTCACTGTTAGTAATAGCAACATGTATACCTATAATAATTTGTACTACAACCCTCACCAACACTTAGGTATTAGTATTTTTTGTTAGAGGAAGGAATATTAATTTCACACAGATGAAATGTCTGTGATTTCATAATGAAATGACATTAGTATTGTTTTAATCTATATTTTTATTACTGTTGTTAAATGGTTTAAAATATTTGCTAATCATATTTCCTACTATGTAGATTATCTTTGGGCATGTATGTTTTAGTGTTTATCTCAAAAATTTACATGTATTTTTTTATACTCTATTGGAAAATAACCCAGCCTATAACATATTAACTGCAAATATTTTTTTCCAATATAAATTGTTTTTTCTTTCTCTTTGGGTTTTTTTATGTAGAAGATAAGTTTAATATTTTTATAACATTAAGCATATTAAGTACTTTCCAATGTAATTTTTTTCCTATTGCAATAAAGCTGATATAATAATTCTACTAAAATTCTGGCAAATAAGCAAACTTCCCCATGATTTAATTCTTTAAAAATGTATTTATCTATTTAATCCATCTGGTATTTTGACATATGTTGTGAATATAAATTACTTCTTTTTCAAATTTGTTAATACCACAGCCATTTATCAAATAATCTTTCCCTTGCCTATTGTTCTATAATGCTCATTTTCTTATAGATACAAAATTTAGATATAATGTGGGATTTTACATGTTTTCCTACATAGAGCACATTATGAAAAAACTTCAATTATATTGTTTTCTACTACAATTGGATATCTGGAATGGCTTTTCAACATTTATGGTTTCTTTTTAAAAATATTCCTTTGTTCTTATTGGCTCATTTCTCCAAATAGATTGTCATTCTCTCACCTTCTAAGAAATTTCAGTTGAGGATTTTATTGAGATTATACTCTTATATTTATAAATGAATGTTGAAAGCATTAATAATTTTATTTATCTTTACATCTGGAAACATAATCTGCCTATTCACTAATTAAAATCTTCTTTTATAACCCATAAGAAGTAACATTCTAAAGATATGTCCAATATAATATAATTAAGAAGCAGAATAAGATAATGGAAAACATAGAGACTATGAAATGAAACATGGATATATACTGAGGGTCAAATCCTGTGTGATCTTGGTCGGGATTCTTATGCTATCTGAGCCTCAGTTGTTTCCTCCATGAATTGGAGTTAATACTACTTAGTTTCAGGATCTGTAGGGAGTAAGGATGATATATATAAAGCTACTGGAGCATAGCACATATCCAATAAATGTTAGCTATGATCATAGTTTTTAATACAGCATATGCCTAGTACTTGACATTTTTCAAAGTTCTCTCATGTGTATTATCCTACTTTGTCTGAACTTTGCAAAACCCTATGAGATGATGTTGTTATTATCATTACTACTATTAAGACCAAAAAAGTAAATATATATCTTCTTTTGCATCAAAAGCACAAGCTCATTTCATATTATCATGATATGTGATTATTATATATTTATAGATTACCAACATCACACAATGACATTGCCCCAAATATTTTATAAATTTTTCTACTATAATAATTATAATTTCCCTTTCATCACATTTTGTAATTAATTGTGCTTGCTTAAAGGAATGCTGTTAATTTCAGTGTATTTCTCTCATGTTCAACAGTGATTCAGTTCCTTACTATCTCTTAAAAATATGTTTGAATCCTTTGGCTTTTTGGGTTGCCACATTTGCAAAATAAATTCTATGCTATAGAATCATATATTAATGGAATTAGCTAATCAAAAAATCAAAAACCAAGACCAGCTATCTATCATGATTTTGAGACATATTAAAATCTTAAGATTATATAAATATCTTAAGAAACATAAATTCAAAGATTATTTAACTATTACTTGTCAGTTTCCTTTAGCTTATAGATTGTGCTATCTTAAGAATATTTCATATCACTCCTTCAATCCTCATAATATCTTGCCTGACAAGAAGGGCTGGTGTTATAGGGAGGGAGAAAAAGAAATTTAAAAAAGAAGCATACATATACACTTATATTTGTTAGTAGACTTTAAATACTATCCTTGGGGAAGAGAGAATAAAGGAATGAGTAGGGAAGAGGTATAAGATTATAAACACTTGCACATTTCGGAGAATTTTGCTACCTTCACAACTTTTCTTAATGCCTGGCTGCCTAAATGCCTTCTCATCATAACCTAGACCTTCCTCTCCTAAATACAGCCTTTTCCCCTCCTGTTCAGAACATCATTTCAGTTATGAGAGGATACATTTTATTAAACCTGGATTTACTCTTTGTCATTCCTCATCTTTTCCCAGAACACTGGGCATTTCCTTGGAAAAATAATAATAATGAAATGTCATTTTTCATTCAATCAGTCGGTTAACATGATCAAATCATCCACCACCAAGACTCATCTAAATAACGGAAACCACTGAGTTGCCTCAAACATATTTCATTTTGGGGGTAATTGCTCTTTGTATCTCATCAATTGGAAAATTAAAACAACAACAACAACAACAAAAAAAAAAACTGGCAATAAAGGTATAAACAAAGACTGAGAGGACACAATTATCTTCACGGTAGAACCAGGCAGTCGGCTCAGGTCTGATCTCAGTACTCACGGGGGAAATGATTAGAAGTGGACGGATTGACACTGTCCCCGCTGTCAGCACTTTCACTGCTGGAAACGTCATCGTCTGATTCTCGCACAGAGGAGCAGGGCGAAGAGCCGTCAACTTCTTCAAACTTCCTCTTTAAAATTCCACTCATAGCTGCAGCGCTGTCACATGTACCTGTAACAGGAACGGGAGCAGTGGAGCATTGAAATATTTGACCGCTGAACGTGTAGTCAAGGTCTCCGGAGTCATTTTTATGTGGCTTTTTATTACACGAGCTGTGGTACAGCTTTCCCTCGGAAGGATCACCAAGCAGATTTTTATTCTATTTTTAAATTAACAAAAAATCAAATTAAATTAAACACAGAGTATTGGACCATTTTGTTACCAAAACGTTTTGACATTTTTAGACATAGTTCAATTTAATGTCATGCCATTATTCTTTTTGTTGGCGAATTGAGAAAAATCTACCTGAGTCCATAAAATTCTGTAAAGAAAACAAATGCTGGTATCTCCTGAAGTCCTAAATGATGACTGCATGATATTAAATTCATCTGGAAAGAACACAAAAAAGTATGCAAAAACTTTATACCTAAGTTTTAAAAATTCAAGAACCCTAAATAGCTGAGCACAATGAAGCTAATGAAATCAGGTCTGAGTTTTAGGTAGTTTCCATTTCAATGTTGCAGTAAGGTGATATGTGTCCCCATGCTACCTGGTTGGTGAAGTCATTGCCACTTTTTCTGAAACTTCCTAAGGCTATTTGCCTGGGAGACAGCACTAATTGAGTAGGGAGACCTGGGGGTGAGGAGTGGATGTGGTTTCTTCGAGATCATTTCTCTTGGATAAAGGGGCTTTCCACTCTCCCTGGGCTTCCCTTTCTCCACCTGCCCTATTTTACCTTGACATGGGCATAGTCCTTTGCAAACTAAGGATATTTTAGGGAATAAGCTATATATAAATTAGCTTAGATATATGTACATGATCTTACATTGCTAAATTAGGTTAACTTAGCTGAAAGTACACGTTGAGTATCCATTATTTAAAATGCTTGCGATAAGAAGTGTTTTGGATTTTGAAATATTTGCATCTACATAGTGAGATATTTTGGGGATGGGACCCAAGTCTAGACACGAAATTAATTTAGGTTTTATATATACCTTATACATATAGCCTGAAGGCAGTTTTATATAATATTTTTAATAATTTTGTGCATGAAACAAAGTTTTGACCATGTTTTGACTGTAACCTACCACATTTGGTCAGGTGTGGAATTTTCCATTTGTAGCATCACATAGGCATCAAAAATTTTGAATTTTTGAGCATTTTGGACTTAGATTTTCCAATTAGGAATGTTCAACTTTTCTTACTAATTTAATTCCATGCATTCTATTTTTCACCTCCGTTATGTCTATTTTAACTCTAATCTGAGTTCTTGAAACCATTCTTTCTTTTTTCCTGCCAGAGTATAGACATTCCTGTTGATCAAAGAGAAGCAAGACCCTTAAAGTTATTCTGAGGTCAACGTAGTTACATTATCTGGTACTGCTCTGAGAAATCTCTGAAATCCCCCCTTCTTTGTGCTCAGATCCCCTGAGTGGGGCCAGCTCTCCAAAGTCTAATTCAGTAGTTTTCAAAATGTGCTACTTAGATCATCAGCAGAGTGTGACCTAGGAGTTTGGTTAGAAATGCAAATTCTCAGTTTCCATCTCAGATCTGCTGAATCAGAAATTCCCAGGAAGTAAGGCCCAGCATTCCATACTTATGAAGCTCCCAAATCAGGTGACTTTGATGCATACTCAAATTTAAGAATTACTTGCGGCCGGGCGCGGTGGCTCACGCCTGTAATCCTAGCACTCTGGGAGGCCGAGGCGGGCGGATCGCTCAAGATCAGGAGTTCGAAACCAGCCTGAGTAAGAGCGAGACCCCGTCTCTACTATAAATAGAAAGAAATTAATTGACCAACTAATATATATAGAAAAAAAAAATTAGCCGGGCATGGTGGCGCATGCCTGTAGTCCCAGCTACCTGGGAGGCTGAGGCAGGAGGATTGCTTGAGCCCAGGAGTTTGAGGTTGCTGTGAGCTAGGCTGACGCCACAGCACTCTAGGCCAGGCAACAGAGTGAGACTCAGTCTCAAAAAAAAAAAAAAAAAAGAATTCCTTGCTTATTTTTCAGATGCTCCAGTGTCTCCCTCCCTGGACTTTGACCTTCCTTGGGTATGTCCACACACCAGCCCTAGACAGTCACCCAACCCAGCTCTCAATTCCTAGTCAAAATCTCTTCTTTGGCTTACCCTGGCATGATTCCTAGCAAAATAATTACAGTATTTAGATGTCTAATAAATATTATAATTTCAGTTTATTGCATTCATCTAAACATGCGTTGAGAAATATGCATGTGCTTGACTCCTTGAGTTGAGTGGGGATACAAAAGGGAGTTAGAATACCTTACCTGTCCTCAAAGAGCAAACATTCACTATGCTGGGTTCCATCAAATACCCCACATTCCTGTTCTACCTCAATCATTTTATTGATCCATGTCTTCTGCATGATTGTTATATTGAAAATAGAGACAGCAACAGGAAGATATATCGTCCATTATTTTGAAAATATAATCTCTATTCTGATTGTGATTTTACCACTATTCGGATTAGCATATTATTTTCTCCATCTTAGAGAGTGTGAAATGCATAAAATGTTCATGCATATCTGAATAGAGCGAAGAGAAAAAAAAGATATTTTAAGCAAAGTCTTGAAATAAAAGTAGGACAGGATATAAATTTTAAAATGGTTCACTTCAAACAAGATGCAAAGTAATTCATGAGGGAGAGACTCCAAGACACAAAGTAATACAAGATGGAAACCTATGTTTAAAAGCACATTTTTATAATAAGATATTGCAATGGGAACAGTTAAAAACCATGTTCTTGAGCTCCACTTAATTCCCCCACCCCACCCCTCCAGATTCCATAGGAAAGGCAGATTCTTCAAGAATCAAAGACACCTAATTGGGCTACAGGGAACCATGTCCCAACATTACAAAAGGTGGTACTTGGTATTCTTCTCTTCCTTTCTCACTTCCTCAAGAATGAGAGGGGAAATATTTGGAAAGACAATAAAAGAGTTAAAAAGTGTCTTTTTTCCTTTTGTTATTACATTTGGGACTGCCAAGAGCTGCAGTAACAAAGTTGAAGGTTGGATGTAATTTCTGTCTGGATATTTATAACTGAAAAGAGTTTGAGCTAGAACCAGGTGCAAGGAAGTAAGGAACTGTTTGTTTAGGGTATGGTCAGTATTTAAGGAAGAAATTAAACTAATTACAGTGGGTCATAACCTTAACTTATACCTATACTTATGAAACTGGTGAAGTGCTAAACTCTCATGAAGCAACAGGGCATCACATCTGTCTATAGTTTCACTGTCTTTTTAAAATACTATGTGAGCATAACAAAATGTTATAACAAAACAGGAGGGCCAAATGGCCCATTGTTTGCCAATATGTAACCTGTAATCTTTACTCAGTAGTGGAATCTTAAAGAGAGATGTAGTTTTCTCCTTCATCGTCTACATCATCTTACTAGAAAAGAAAAACATATAAGGATTTTTGGAGAAGACCCTGTCAATAAAGTGGTGTATATCCCTGGTTTGCTTGAACCCTGTGTTGATCACCTCAGAATTTGAGGATGGCAATATATGGCTGGCTAGATACAGATCCAAGTAAGGAGAATGAATGCTCACCCAATAGCTGCTCCTTAAATACCCACATACTATATTTTTGTTCCTAACAATCAAACTTGGTAGCATGAAGCGATTGAAAAAGTGGCAAACATTTCAAATTGGCTTTAGATAGCATCTAAAGAGCAGATGATAAAGTTGGAGAGGCATTAATTTATTCTAAACATAAAGAGCTGAATGTCTAAGTCTAGAACAGCCATTTTATCATAACTACCATTGTCCAATTCATGAAACACATGCTAGTCAAGGGTACCATTCAGACAGAGCCTCCTAATTGTTCTCTTCCATTCACTGCTGCTAGCTTCCAGTGTGTTTTCCAGGTTGCAGGTACAATGATAATTTTTAAATTTTTATTTATTTACTTATTTATTTATTTTGAGACAGGGTCTTGGTCTGTTGCCCGGGCAGGAGTGCATCATAGCTCACAGCAACTTCAAACTCCTGGGCTCAAGTGATCCTCCTGCCTCTTCCTCCTTAGTAGCTGAGACTGCAGGTGCACACCACTATGTCCACCCTGCTAATTTTTCTATTTTTTGTGGAGACAGGATCTTGCTATGTTGCCCATGCTGGTCTCTAACCCTTGGCCTTAAGCAATCCTCCCACCTCAGCCTCCCAAATTGCTTGGATTATAAGTATGAGCCACCTCACCAAGCCAAAATGACAAATTTAAAATTCAAAATTGATTATGTCAGTCTATATCTTAAAACTCTTAAGTGGTTTTAGATTGCCTTAGGATAGAGCTCAGAATCCTCAAAATGGCTTATAAAGTTCTTAGCAATCTAGCTTGCTAACCTCTTCATCCTCACTTTGAGCTATTGGCCTAGAGGCCAGAAAGAAATGGCAAGTTGGAGAAATTGAAAGATTATTTGACCTGAAATATCAATGATAAGGCCAATAGCTCAATAAATATTTGTCCAATGAATGAATAAAATCCTTTTAGTTCCATACGTTAATTACTTTATCATGTCTGTTTTCTTTGTTAGACTAGAAGCTCTATGAAGGCAAAAATCATGTTCATCTCATTTACTTCTCTGTCTCCCTTGATTAACAAAACATTTTGATTGAAAGAGGATTGAAATGAGATCGACCTTAAAATGTCACACAATATTTTGCTCATAAGCAACACAAAAATCAGCTCTGGACTAACTTGAGCAAAAAGACTTCTGTTGGAAAAATATTGGACTAGTACATGTAATCTAAGACAGAGCTAAAAACCAAAACTCAGGAAACACAGGAACCAGGACAGCTTCTAGGATTACGGGTGTAGAAATTCCTTGATCTTTTCTCTAGAGCTCTGCTGTTACCAGGTTTAAGCTCCAGCAACTTTTCTCTCTGTCTCATGGTTCAAGGGTAACGTTCCCAGGACTGAGTGATGTTTTGAACTGTCTTGGGTCAGGTGTCTGTCTGCCCCTTGATCTTTCACCTATATGGCGTTAGGTAG